TTTTTTTTTTTTAAGATTTTATTTATTTATGAATTCTAGAACTGGGGTACAGGCCAGAGATGTGCGGGGCTGGGAGGATTCACCAGAGACAGGTGGGGGCAGATTTACTGAAATACACTGCTGAGGGCAACACAGGAGAGGTCTGCTGCGCCATGTGGGTCAGCTCCCTGGCGGGGATCGAATTCGTGCTGAAAGCGGCTGCAGACAGCTTTGCAGTGCTGCGCTTTATTCTGTTGTACCACCGGGGAGGGCCCTAGATGTTACTGCTTTCACCATAAATGTAGAATATGTCAGTTTGGTAGGCTCTGTGTTTATCTCACATAAAGATTATCTTTTATTGGGTAACACGTTTTATTTTGTGTTTTGTTTCTTAGGTGTTTCATATCTAGCCCAAGGTAAAAATGTTACTGAATTCCTGGGATATGATAAAGTTCACAGAAAGCAAAGGTCCTGCTGTCTGCTTACGTGTTAATGGCTCTGACTGTGCATTACCAACAGCCCCGCTCTAACACCAGTTTGGACACAGACGCTTCCCCTGTTCTCACAGCCCGTTGGCCAGCTGCCAACCAAAACCACCTGAAGGGACCAGTCTCTGCCCGGTCCCTTCTGCCAAACCTCTTTCTCCTCTGTTTACTCTTTCCTCGAAACCAAAGCAACTGCTGGAGAAATTGCCACCAGAGGAAAGGTAACATCTTTTCACGTGTTATTTTTGTACTCAAGCTTGTAAGCCAGATGGCCCCCAAATCCTGCAGCTCGTTGGGGTTGCCTTTTCGTTTGGTATTCACACGCCAGGCCTCCGACTGCCCTGACGCTGCCTCCGTGGGCTCTGTGTGCTCCCGGTGCCACATGCAGAATCACCGTCCCTGCGCCAGGGCTCCCTGGCCGCCTCCCCCACCCAATCCGCTTGCTCTCCCAGCTGCTGTTCTTCCACCACCCCCCCTTTATTCATGTCCCTGCCCTCCTCCATCCTCTCCTTCTTTCCCAGTTTCTCATGTAAGGTGTAGAGATGTGGTGGTGGCCCTCCTCAGGTCAGTGCCTCTGGTCATTCTGGTCCGCGCCAGGGGCCTTTCTTGTTTCATCTCTCCTCCTCCGCTGTCCTGTGCCCCCGACCCGTGCACCCCCTTTTAGTGTGACGCAGTGTGCCTGCGTGTGTGCGCGTGTACTCTCCCGACGTGACGTGACTTTGCCCTGCACATTTCTCACTCCGTCAGACCACACGGCAGACCTCCCATCTCCATCTTTCCTCTGCCGCTTTACGTCTCTGCCTTGCCGCGGTGTGGCCGTCCACGCTGTCGCTTCTAGCTGCTGTGTGGAGTCCCCCGTGCAGAGTGTCACCTGCAGTCCACTCTCCTTCCTGAGCAGTGCGCCTCAGCCCACTGTCAGCTGAAGGCTGGGTGGGAGGATTTCTCGGCCACACCTTGCGTGACTGGGATTGTGGGGACTTGGGGTTTTGCATCCATTTAATCATCGCACAAACCAGTTATTGCCTCCACCTCCATCAGCACCACCATGTCCGTTACCCAGCTGCACTGGCAGCGGCTCACCGTTGTCGTGACTCTGAGTTTCCCTGGGTGTGCATGCTTCTCTGGTGGCCTGCTTTTCTTTCTGCTGTCCTTCCTCCCACGCACACCCTGCCTCGTTTCATACCGGGCTCGCTTTTCTTGTCTTGCTGGCGATTCCTCTCTGGTGAATTCCAGAGAGGAATCCGTTTGCAGTGTGGACACTGAGGACGTCTCTCTCCGTCCTGCCTCCTGCTCTCCGCCTTGCTCAGAGAGGAGCTCTGTTGGAGAACAGCTCACAGCTTGTGCCAGTCAGAAGCATGGGCTTCCCCTTACAGCTATGCTTTTGGAGCTGCGTGCTGGTTCTACCACCTGGTGCACATCAGCTGCCCTGGACGCGACATTTCATGTAATGGAATGTTTGTGTCCTGGATGCATGCGCTAGTGGAAGCTCTGAGCAGAACCTGAGACATGCGGGGGCGAGACACAGGACTGCCGCGGCACAGCACACTGCCCCCAGGGGCTGCCACCTCACCCAAAGCAGGGCCGCTTCACGGTGGGCTCTACCTAGGGTCAAAGAAATCCCCATCCTGCCATGACTGGCACGTAATGTGACAGCACGGTGCAAAGGGATTCTCCCCTAGCTTCCAGCTCGAGTCTGAGGCAGAAGACAGGCCTTTTCGTTTGCTTGGTTTTGACCCAGCTGCCTTATACTAAGCGTGCCTAATACTGCGACCAGCGAAAGAGCTGTGTTGCATGACCCCGGGTGGGTGCCTTAACTGTGTGCAACGTGAAAAGGGTTTTATTTTTATTTTATTTTAAGATTTATTTATTTGTGCATACATAACTGGGGTACAGATCAGAGGTGCAGGGGCAGTGAGAAGCTTCATCAAGACACAGTGGAGAGCAGAATAGGCAGATGGACGAAGTCCACTGCTGAGGGGAGAAGCAGGCGGGTCAGGAGAGGTCTGCTGCGCCATGTGGTCACCTCCAGGGGTGGGGATCGAACCCGCACTGAAGAGGCTGTGGCCGGCTTGCAGTACTGCGTCCTAGCCCATTTTACCACCAGTGAGGGCCCGAGAAGGGTTTTTAATGTCTGCTCAGGACTCCAGGCCACATGAGTAGCTGTTCCCTGCCGTCATTCGGGACCTGCTGCCGGTCAATGCAGATTTGGCTTTGCCTGCTCTGCCCGGGGCATCTACCTGCTGAGCCCAGCCCCACAGTCTCCGTCTCATGTACCAACAGGCTCTTCTCCTTGTGCCTGAGAGGCTGCGCCATACTTCATCTTGAGCCCACAGAGCCACACACAGGATGGAGACGATGTGCTTTCGGGATTCTACACTGTCCTTTTTCAAGGGAGGGCAAGGGTTAGGACTGACACTTACTATCCAAGTTGAAATGATTTTAATGATTCAGTATTTACCATAAACTCAACTTTAAATATTGGAATGTTTTATCATAGAAAAACCAACGTATTTGACTGCTGATATGGATGCAGGTAAGTTAACTTTTATGTGTTTTTCCCAGTGGGTCACTGGCTTTATAGGTTCACATTTTAATGTTGTGTATGTGTGTGCATGCACGTAATATGGTTTTCGTGCCTTGATTTAAATGGAAAAATATTACTCTTTTCCTTTATCACTGTTAAGGAAAAGAAGCCTGAGAACTCCTTTTAAAAATGGCTCCATGAATTTGGCAATCTAAAATAAGGAATGGGCCAGTGCACAATGCTCTCTTTTTTCCATTTTGTTCATCTGTAAGTGTTTACACAATATATATTTGGGGATTTCAACTTCACCCTTGATGTGTGCCTGCTTCACTCAGCCTCCACCAAAGGCCCAGTGCGTAGGGCTAATTTTGAAGTAAAAACAATTGTGCCGCGCAGTTTTTCTATTTAAGGTGAGTTTTGTCAAAAATAACCAGATCTCAAATGTGATCCATGGCATGCACTTGGAAACAAATAGAGTAGGTTTTAACTGAATCAAACATTATTTTGCAGTGTTCTAGAGCAGGATAGCAGAAGGTCTAGGGAGGGCGTACCCTGACCTTGGCACACTAAGAGCCATGTTAAGGCAGTGTCGGGTGCGGGGACACGGTAACTGACAGGCTGACAGGCGGCTGCAGGTCAGGCCTACCTGCCTTACATCCTGGCTCACCTGCTGGCTGCTGAGCCGCAGGCGAGTGACTTCCCCTCAGACATGCGGGCGCTCTGTTGAGGGGATTTACACGGAACCTTAGGGAAGAGGCTCTTCTAATTCCGAGTCCCCTGAAGGAACAGTATTTTTAAAATATCAGGGAATCCTCAAAGCTTTAAACCTCAAAGCTAGAGACGTCAGTCAGAAGACATTTTCAGCAATAGCCCCGTGTTTCTATTCAAGATAACTTTAACCTTTACAGACTGTGCAAGCTGGTTTCACAGTCCTCAGTAGATAGGACTTCTCTTCTTTCTAAGGTGTAACCAGAAGTTTAAAACCTCCTATCATACTTCCTTCCCCCCAGCCTGGTTCTTCTGGTACTTAGCTGCTGGGGTAGAAGTGTCGGGCGGGGCCTGTGGTCTCTGTCACCCTGGGGACCGGCATATTTCAGCCCCTCCCTCTCCCAACAGCAGTCTCTCTGCAGACTTTTAAGACTGGGGCAGTATTAGCATTATGCCAGGATTTTAAGACAAGCAGCTTAGCATCCAAAATAATGCACTAATGAAATCAGCCCGCCTGTGGTCACTACGACTCCGCTGTCTTTGTGGTGTAGATCATGCAGAAGCGTCTGCCCACGAGCCAGTGGGTTCAGATCATCACAATACTCTCTCTCTTTCTTGAAGAAAGAAAACGGATTAAGTCATTTTTCCCTAAACTCTCCTGTGGAGTTAGAAACAGCAAGCTGGTTCGGAGGAAACGCGTGGTAGGAGGAAGGCCAGCGAGCGTGGTGAGCCCAGAAGGCCCCACGGTTCAGCACCAAGGCGGGGAGGGGGGAGGAGTCTGGCGGGGTAGTGTCTTGGGGCACGTGTGTGTATCCTCTGGTGACAAACACACAAATATCTTCTCCAGGGACAATTCCCATGGCAGGTGGCGATCAAGGAGAACGAGAAAATCAGTTGTGGAGGCATTTATATCGGTGGCTGCTGGGTCCTGACGGCAGCACACTGTGTCAGGTAACAAAGTGGCCGCTAGACACTGGGTTTCCTCAAACGGTGAAAACGGGTCTCAGTGCCCAAGGCAGGTGGTAGCTCAGAACACATTCGAGAAGAGTCCTCAGTCCTCGGTAAGTTCCACTCTGAAGTACTGAATGGCCTCTGGGATTGACAGTCCAGACCCCAGAGGCCCGGCCCCCAGAACCGGCTGGGGACCAAAATGCTGACCTCAGCTGGCCGGGCAGCACAGTTCGTGGGCACCAGGGACTTCCCTGGCTCATTTGTACATGGGACTGCTCTGTAGAGTTAGGGCCGAATTGGTGGGAGAGTATAACTTGGGTTTCTGTAAGGAGATATGCTTCTCTGCCATTTGCTCTTGCCTCAGTCAGATGTTGGTTATGGGGTTGTGTGTTCATGCAGCCCTCCGCCACGCACGTCTTTCCCAGCCACGTGCCCTAAGTGCGTGCACTCTGTGAGCTGTGTGCAACAGTTCCAGAACAGTTGTGAGCTCCCCACCCCTCACTCCTTCCTCGCATGCTGCTCCCACACTGACTCCGAGATGCTCAGAGCCTCAAACAGAGCTTGGACCTGGTCCATCCACTGGGCGCCACGCCATGCCCCGCCCCGCGGGGAAGGTTGGCGGCTCGTGGAGGTTGAGCCTACGGAGTTGTGGGCCAGCCAGGCGAGCGGGAGCAGCGTGTTTGTTTGCGAGGGCTGCCGCAGTGATGCCACACACAGAGGGGAGCTTTAACCAGCAGAAAATGAGTTTCTCGCAGTTTTGAAGACTGGGATCCCAGTTCTGCTGGGCTGGCTGCTGCTTGGCTTGCAGACAGCTGCCTCTGGGCCGGGCCCTCGCGTGGCCTGAGTCTGCGGGTACCCATCCCGGTGTCTGCTCCACTTCCAGAGGGATCCCCGGCCTCGTTAACTAGAGTAGCACTCTGAGACCTCATCTCACCTAAACTAGCTCTTTAAAGGCTCTCTGTCAATGCAGTCATGGGGTGTCTAGGCCTCTGCATGTGACTTTTAGGGGAACACAGTTCTGTTACAGCAGCTGAACAAGCAGTACCTGAAAGGTTTTGACAAGGAATCATGTCGGCATGGAGGAGGCAGAGGTGGGGCCTCCGGCATCAGATCTTATCTCTGGAGTGCAGGAAACGTCAGGTATCCAGTGCCCCTTCCAGGCCAGATACCGAGCCCAGCACGGCCATGTCTGTCATGTTGCTCTGACGTTCTCCGGAATCCTGCGAGGTCAGGTTATTCTTCCTGTTTGTAGATGAGACTGAGAAGTATCCTTTCATCTTCGAGGACACTTTTTTTTTTGAGATTTATAGCTGGGGTGCAGGCCAGAGGTGCAGGGGCAGTGAGAGGATTCACCAGAGACAGTGGAGAGCAGAACAGGCCGAATTATGAAGTACACTGCTGAGGGAAGCAGCGGGTGGGTCAGGAGAGGTCTGCCGTGCCGTGTGGGTCACCTGGGAGGAGGGATCCAACTCACTCTGAAGCGGCTGCAGCCAGCTTTGCAGCACTGCACCTTACCTGTTGCACCACACAGGGTTAACCTGTAAAATCCACCACAGTTAATTAAGACGGGGTGTAGCATTCTGAGAACACATGATCTAGGGGTCTCCCTGGTGGGGCAAGGGCTTAAGCTGCAGCACTGTGAAGCTGTCCGCAGCCACTGCAGCATGAATTTGATCCCCACCAGGGAGGTGACCCACATGGCACAGCAGACTTCTCCTGTCTCCCCGCTGCTCCCCTCAGCAGTATATTTCAGTCCATCTGCCTGGTCTGCTCCCCACTCTGTCTCTGGTGTGTCCTCTCACCCCCTGCACCTCTGGCCTGTATCCCAGTTCTTGTATTCATAAATTGAAAAAAAAAAAACTCTTTTAAAAATGAAAAAGAACACAAATCTGTGATCTAAAGAGGGGCCTCTTGCTCCTGGGACTGCACTGATGACCTCAGCAGCTGATGGGAGGGGCCCCGTTTCCTTGAAACCGGCAGGTGACAGTGGTATGAAAAAGGAGTGACACAGGAACAGGGCGTATTTGGCACATTGACATTTCAAGCAGACTTTAGGACAGCCCCTAGGTTCGAGGCCTAGTGCTGGGCACAGCATCGACGCATAGAGGGAAAAGGCGGCCCGTGCCTGGGGGAGCGAGGTCTGGCGGGAAGACCAGACGCAGACAATAGGGTGGGGCCAGTCTCACTGGTCAGAAAGCGACTGGTGACACTGGCCCAGGACCCTGCCATCCGCAGCGTCTCAGGTGGGTGCTGCGACCCCCTATTTTTTCCCTAGTTTCTGGATGGATGCTGGCTGGTCTCTGTTTCAACATCTGTTCTCATACCAGAGGCCCCAGGCTCCACTGGACCCTGGGTCCATCACCTCTCTGATAGCCGGCAGTTGAGTGGGTGATTCATCCCCTCCTCTACCCATCTGGTTGAGTTTTCTCTCCATGTTTTGCTTCCCTTTGCCTTCCTCTTACAGAGCCAGTAAAGTGCACCGGTACCAGATATGGGCATCACTGGTGGACTGGATAAGGCCGAACTCAGAGACACTGGTTCAGTATGCAAATAAAATCATCGTCCATGAAAACTACGCGGGCACCACCTACAAAAATGACATCGCTCTGATCGAGCTGCGAAAACGCCCGAACCAGCAGGAGTGCGTGCTGCCCAACTCTGTCCCCGCCTGCGTGCCCTGGTCGCCCCATCTGTTCCAGCCCGGCGACAGGTGCGTCGTTTCTGGCTGGGGCCGAGAGAAAGGTATGTCTTACACTTTGCCCAGCAGGACCCAGGGGTTGAATGTCAGGTGAACTCCTGGGCGTAGCGTGCTTGAGAGAAACAGCGTCAAGTCCAGAGGAGCAAGCATGCGGGTCCTGGGCTCGCGACCGAGCTCCTGGGGGCCTGTGCTCGGCTCTTTGCTTTGCCGTCACCCCCGGAAATTCTTAAATTCGACAGCGGCCCCACTTCAGTCCCATGATCCCAGCCCCACCCGCAGTGTCGAAGGAAGCCGGGCGGCTCCCATGGTGTGATCGGTTGGGGCGAGGCGCTCACACACAGAGGGCGCCCACACCCTGATGCCGATGCGTATATGGAGGGGTAGCCATTCACCCCAAACAAAGGAGCGAGCCAGGGGCCACATGAGAGATGGGGTGCAAGGGAAGGTTCTCCAAGGGAAGGTGACAGCACACCTGTCAGTCACCCTCCGTCCCCTCTCCCCGCACCCCCACACCTGGCAAAGGAGCACGCACCCTTCATATTTTGAGTTCTGAGACTTGATGTGAATGTTCATGTGGATAAGAGACGTGGATATTTAGGGAAAATCAGTGGAAAGCGTGCTAAATTAGATTGGAATGAAATTGGCCAGTGCTTTCTCCTTCCAGAGCCTTCAGCTCGCATGTAAATAACCTCCCTGTGGTGTTGGCCTTACAGGTGTAGACTGTATCACATGCCTTAGAATTGCCACATTGGAAAGTGGAAAATAACATGCATAAACTACCAGTGTGTGCAGTGCTTAAACACCCCAGACTTACAAAAACTAAATTTCATTAGCCATTCATTGGGAAGGCATTATGTCCTGACATTTATTACATTTATAAAGAAAACCTTTGTTGCCTTCAAGTGTTACAAGCATGCCTAAAAGCAGAGAGATACAAGTATAGGAAGCCCTTCCTAGTCACTGACAGTTTGCAAAGATACCAACATTGCACCACGATTCCTGTTTCATGCATGATCTCAACAAAGGATCATTAGGAAGGTGAATTATAAAGGGGTTAATTATAAAGTTGTGGGTGGGCTTTGGGGAACTATGGGGCTATGCAGGAGCCTGGGAACCGGAGCACCAGAACCCCTCGAGATCTGAAGGCACAGGAGTAGAAGTTACGGGAGGGAGGAAATGCCTCAGGATCTATTTAACATCCCCCTCCCCACTGCCCACCCTGCCAGCTTAGTATATTAATCACATCCCAGATAACGTGCCACCCACGTGTCCTAGAAAGACACAAAACACCATCCTTCATACCCAACAAGGTGGAGGTGATTCTGCAATGCCAGGTAGCAGCCAGCTGCCCTAACACCCCTCAGTTACTCATAGCAGCTTTTACAGGCACATTATTTTCATTGAGATCCGAAGTCCAGCACTGCATTTAGTGGCTTATTTCTTAAATCCCTTTTAATCTAGATCAAGGGTTACTCTTGTTTTTACTTAAAATATAGTTATTAAGGAAATGGGGTCACTCATTTTACAATGCCCAGATCTGGCATCTCGCTGACTGCATCCTTGACCTAGCATTTTACATGTTCTAGCTGTATGTATATATTTTCCTGGCAGTAGGGATGCCCATAAGCGTTTTCCTTATCGGTAAATGTGATGTAGCACGGACGCCCCTGTCAGGCCCTCAGAGGGCGGAGACCTCCCAGGCCATGAGGACCCTCACAAGGCTCAAGAGCCCACTTTCCTAAAGCCCCCTCTTGAGTTAGGACACAATAATAAGTCAGTTATTTTTAGAAAATCTTATCCTAAAGATGACCCTCTTGACACTAACTGGAAGTGGGCCTTGAAGGGGGAAAGGAAAGGGTGGGTGGAACTTTTTCCTGCTTTGCCGTATATTTTGGTGGATTCTGTCTCCCGCTTCCCAGGCGAGGAGGCCAATTCTGCCCGTTAGCTCTGGGCACCCACTGAGGGGGCGGGGAGGCGGGGGTGGTCTGTGGTGTCGTCTCAGTCTCAGTCTCCGGATAAACTGGGTCTCTGTCCCCGGGGGGGTTGGAGAGCTAAATGCTTTGGGGTGGGAGGGTGGTATAGCACCAAATCACTGTGATTCGTGCACTGATTGGTTACGGACATACCGTTAACAGCTTATCAGCTCTGTGCCAGTATCCAGCAGGAGCCTGGGGCAGTGCTGCGTGCTCACTGTGTTCTTAGGGTTTCCCCACCTTCCCCGGGTGATCAGTCAGCAGCCACAGCCGGTCCTCCATGCATCAGCGCTCAGATCCCAACTCTGATGTCAGTGGGAAGCAAGCCCAGTGTGCCCTCCCAGTCCCTTTCAGAGCTGGAGTTCCTCGGATGCACACTAATTTCACATGCATTTATTTCCTCGGTCACCACCTTAGCCGGTCATAGGGCGCCTCTGTCGGGGCCTGAGCTCGTCACTGCATGAGTGTGACTTAAGACCGCGTGTCACGCTGCCCACGGGGTCTTCAGAGACAGACAGTGGGGTGGGAGCAGTGTGAAACCCGGCGTGCCAGTGAGTCATCCACACAAGTTTATGGATGTCTGAAAAAACGCATGTTCCTACATGGTCCTGAAAGGGCACTCGTCACAGAAGTCAGCGCTGGTTTCCGCCTTTCATCTGTTCTCTCACTTTGTTTAGATAACCAGAAAGTCTTTTCGCTTAAGTGGGGCGAAGTTCACATAATAAACAACTGCTCCAGGTTTTACCCCGGCCGCTACTTTGAAAAGGAAATGGAGTGTGCAGGTAGGCACCCGGGCTTCTCCTGCCCCCCGCCTCCCCCGCCCCTGGGCTCTGCCGGTGGCACCATTCCACTCGCAGTCCCGCTCCTGTTAGCTCTTGTGCCTCAGCCCCACGCTCTGAGGGAAGATCCTCAGATCGAGCCCTAGCAGGCCAGACTCAGGCCAGACCACATTTAGATCCCTTTTTTCTCAGAGGGAAACGAGTCGTGCGCCCCAAGGCGGGCTTCCTCCTCTGCAAAGCTGGGAGTCTTCACAGGCGGGGAAGCTGAGGGCCAGAGCAGCCCCAGTTTGCTGCAGCGTATGCAGGACCAGCCCAGTCCTCTAATTACCCCCTTGTCTCATTACTCCCCAACCCGCCTCTGTGCCCACGTGAGCCCAGCAGGAAAGCCTAAGGCAGCCCCATGGCGTGGCAGGGACGCAGGACTCACGGGCAGGGGCAAAAGCAGCAAAGGGGCTGTTGTCTCTGTCTCTCCCAGGCACGGAGGACGGGTCCATCGATGCCTGCAAGGGCGACTCCGGAGGCCCCTTGGTCTGTGAGGATATCAACAACGTGACTTACGTGTGGGGTGTTGTGAGCTGGGGTGAGAACTGTGGAAAACCGGAGTTCCCAGGTGTCTACACCAAAGTGGCCAATTATTTTGACTGGATCAGCCAGAAAGTGGGAAGGTCTCTCATTTCTCAGTACAATGTATAACCTATAACCGGCGACTTCCCTCCTCACGCCACTCTCTCTGAGGCATTCTCCTTCAAGTTGAAACATTCCTGCATAATCGGGGGAAAAAATAAAGCAGATTTTATTGGGTATCAGTAAAGGTCTGTGTAGTTTATGCCATTTTGAAATTCTGCTGTAAAATTCTGAAACACATTTCAGGCACAGACAGAAAGTGCCCATGCGAAGACCTCTTCACACGCGAGAGATGACCGCACGAAAGGGTTCGCCCGCTGAGGGATACCGGGTTCACACCCCAGCCACACCCCTCAGTGCTTGGCTGGGTAAATTACTATCTTTGTTACGTTTCCTTGTTCATCTCAAAGCGGAACCTGGAATCTCAAGACGCTGAAGTCAAGTGTTTGGCACCGTCCCTGTCCCAGGGTCAAACTTGGCTTCACAGCTCTTGTTCCACTTCTTTGACTCTTTACGTGGGGACAGTCCTGGGAACTTGGCCTTCCTTGTCTCCTAAGTTCTCCCTGACCGCTCTTGCCTGTTTGCTGCTCCCAGCAGCTTCCTGTCGCTCACCTCGCTTGACAGGCTTCCTGGCTGTCGTGCAGACTTGACTTACCCCAGTCACAGGCCCCTGACTCGACTTAGCCCAGCCACAGGCCGCTGACCCTCAGATCCTCACGTCGGCCCTAATTTTCCTGGAATACCAAGCACTCGGCATCTCCACCTGGAGCTCTAAGAGGATTTCCAGCACACGGGGCCCTACCCAGACTCTTGATGGTGTTGTCCTCAGTATGCTGGACACTGGCGGGCTCAGGCCTGGAGGCTGAAGAGCCGGCTTCTCTGTAATGACCCCATGTGCCAGGAACCAGGACGCGCAGGGCGATGACCCAATCCAAGGCGCACCGTGTGGACTGCTTTGCCAGGGCCACAGAAGCCAGCCTCCTGGGTTTAATAGGAAAAAGAGTGTTCTGTGCCTCGTCTCCAGGGAAGCCTGAGTCGCAGGCTGCTTTGGGAGAGAGGTGGTGAGACGCCCGAGGACGGCTCCACAGGGATGCCCGCTGCCACTGGCCAGAGTTGCCCTCCACAGCACTCAGCAGCTGCCCGCTGCTGCTATCTTCTTTTGGACCCTGGCCTCAGAGTGTCCATCTTAACCGGGGTGACAGGGACAGAAATCAGCCAGCAGCATGGCGCCACATGCAGTGGTGAGGACAGCCCCGGGCGACCTGGCAGTCAGCCTGAGGAGCCCACGAAGGCTTCCCCAGAGGTGAGTGGAGTCTGAAATGTGGACGAACTCCCTAGGTGGACCTGCAAATTCGCAGGTCCTGTGGTTTCAGGAGCCAGCCACCCAAGGGGACAGAGCAGCTGAGCATGCCAGATCCCAGGGTGCAGCTGAGGGAGAAAAAGGCCGGCCAGAGAGGGTCTGGCGTCAGAGGGGACAGCCCTGCAGGAGTTTGGAAAGTTGCTGGAGGCACTGAGGAAGGTGAAGTGGGGTGGGGGTGGGTGGCAGGGTGAAAGCCTGGAAGAGGGAAGAGGGTCCTCCCTGGAACCTAACAGGCTGGCACCCTGATCTCGGAACTGGTACAAATAAACTCCTCTTAGTGTTAAGCCATCCCATTGGGTGTTTATCTTGTGAGCAACCTGCATGTCCCAGCTGGTAGACCTCGGGGTGGAGATACATAAATACATTCTCTCCCGGCCCCTCACCCACCAGCTCACCACCTGGGGTACCATCTCTTCCTTCACTTCTGCCCCAACTCAGGCCTCTGATAGTTTTTAGGCAGGGACTGGAACTGAGCTCTCGTTTCACCCTAACTGAGCCCCTGCGGGAAGGTAACTGCCCAGCCTCCCCGCTCCCAGCCAGAGCGCCAATGGAGTTTTTTCACCACACGGCACTATTTTCATTGCAATGATCAGGGGAGGCCATACAACAGGACACCGCAGAAGACGCAGAATACAGGAACTGCCCTTGGGCCTCTCTATTTTGTTGATTTTAGGTTAGTTCAAATAACACAAAGGATTGCATAATGTTCCAGTTCCTAGGATTCGGAGTTAATATGTTACATTAAACCCATTAAACTTTGCATCGTTCTCCTATTAAATCCATCATGTTTCATGATGCCCACGTAGTAACCACCACTGGAGGTTTCTAGGGGGGATGTCTGGCCACTGATGCCTTGCTCGGTACTGGGAAGCTCTGCATGGAAAAGCAGCTTCGTGTCTGTCACCTAGACTCCTCTTCCGTACACAAGATTCAGCACATTCTGTAGTTGGCATTTTTACTATTTTGTCCCATTAACATTGACCATGACTGGTTCCCCAGTTTCTCTTCCTACCCCAGTACAGCTGTGTTCTGTGCTAGTTCTCCTGGGGCTCACCAGTGACAGCCCTGTCTCTGTCCAGTGCTCCACGCATCTGCCTCTTCCTCTGCGTTTGTGGAAGCGCTGGTCGGTCTTGCACACACAGGGCCCAGTGCTCTTCTGGCTGTGCCTCTCAGCCTCCTCAGCCGACTGCTGCTCCCCTGCCCTCCTTTTCTGCTCTCTGCACTCATCGAGAGGCTCTCACCCAGTCCTGCATTCTTAAGTTCCAAATTTATTTCTAGTCCAGGTCCCACGTCTGAGCTGCGGACTCAGAAGAAATTAATTGCTCCTCCTGACCCTCCTATGTCAGTCAGTGAGAACAATTTGTCCTTCCAACAGAGGCGGCCAAATCCTCAGTGTCCTCCGGGATGCCACTCTTCTCGTATGCCCTGCTTGATCCATCAGGAAATCCTACTGGCCACACCATCCAGTTCTCTCCAGCTGTGATCATCTTTCACATCCCATTACTCCCTCTCTGGACCAAGCCATGGTCACCCCTTACCCGTAATGTTTTGTGACATGCTAACTGGCCTTCCAGCCTCAGCTGCTGCCCACCCACAGTCTAAGTACTCTCTATCTGTCCGTCCGTCTGTCCATCCATCCATGGCATCAGTAGCAAACCAGCTATGCTAGCAGGAAAACAGCTGTGGTTTGCAATCAAGAGTCTGTGACAATAACAGATACATTTTTAAGTTTTTATTTATTTATGCATACAGAACTGGGGTACAGGCCAGAGGTGCAGGGGCAGTGAGAGGATTCACCAGAGACAGAGTGGGGAGCAGAACAGGTAGATCAATGAAGTACACTGCTGAGGGGAGCAGCAGGTGAGACAGGAGAGGTCTGCCGCGCCATGTGGGTCACCTTCCTGGCTGGCCAGGGGTGGAGCTTGCACTGAAGCGCTGCAGCTAGATTCACGGTGTTGTACTTAAACCTGTTGTGCCACCAGGGATGGCCCTGGCAGCAGGAATTAAGGAATTAAGCATGCCTCAGAGTTACTGCCGTGGGATGACAAATACATAGTGATTGACTGAAGAGAATGGGGAAATAATGCAGAATCTCATTCACTGGAAAGGTGCTGGTGACTAGTGGAGAGCACAGCACAAAAAGAGATGTGTTTAAGAGAAAAGGGACAACAGTCGCACGAGCCAGAGGACCTGACATTGGAAATGAAATCCCCAGGGAGCGATCAAGGTGACTATAAGCCCAACCAAGTGCTGTACAGTTAGGAGGCTGTAGCTAAGTCATAAGAAATGAGATGAAGCCAAAGAGTAACTGTATAGAGGAAAAGGGGAAAGGGGAGTTTTAGGGCTTCAAGACCTGAGGGTGGGAACCTGGTTACCTGACTGCAGTCTGTGTTTTCTTTTGAAGGACTTATTCCAGGCCCAAGGAGTTTCTCTAGTGGAATAGAAAGAGCCAGTCTTGGTTTAAAGCTTAAATTTACTTCAGAGGTAAAGTAGTCCCACATCCACACTGGAGATGTGAAAGACCAGTGCTCCGGAAAGGCAAGGAAATGGTTACATGGGCCCTTTCCTGAACATGTTGAAAGGTGCTGTCCAAAAAGTGGGGTGGGGGAGGGCGGGACACATTGATCTGAGTGAGTCCGTGACTTCCTGGCACCTTGGCTGTCAAAGGGGATTTATGTCTCCTGGCTGGGAGGAGCCTGAGCACTGTCCCAGCTACCCCCCCCACACCCCCACACCCCCGCTGCTGGGAGGGACGCATTTTTTTCTGCCTGCCGCTAACTCCCCTGAAGGCTGCATCCCCTAAGGCAGAGTCCTGAATGGGAGAGCGTAGGTGCAGTGCCAAGCTCTGAGAAGGTTCTCCTTAAAAGGACGTAACTCCTCGGAACTGTCAGCACTTTTTACTGCACGCTCTTGAAGCTTGTATCAAACATAAACCACCAAAGTATAATTTATCGGGCCATCTTTCAGAAAAGACGCACCTGTTCCCAGCCCTAGCTCCCCTGCAAGATGCCTGGAACCTGCCTGGACATGAAGGTAACCATATATTTATAGCACTGGTAAAAATTACTGCAATTGTTATTTAAGGATCTTGCACAGCTCTGGGGAAAAAGCAAAGAAACGTCACTATAGGTATGAAGTTACAAAATATGTTCAATCGGAATAAGCGATTGCCCAAGACTTTTTTTTGAAATATAAAATGTTAAAGTACTGCTTCATTACCAGGGTGTTGGTGGCTTCTACCTCCAAACCGCCCAGAATTCCTAAACCTGCCTCTAGCTCATCCTCGTTGGGCAGACAACGCCACGACCTTGGGTTGACACGTTCCGGGTCCCTGTCCCCCCAGCCGGCCCGCAGGTCCCGGGGAGCCCAGCGCCGCAAAGCGAGGCCCCAGTCTCGGAACCCGAAACTCAGGGCGACCCCTCCAGACTCTGCAAGGGGTTCCGGGAGCTCCTTCCCCCTCGAGGTGCACCGTCATTGAAGTCGGTCCCTCAGCTGGCTGCGCTGAACCCCGACAGCCCAGACCAGCTCCGTAGGTTCGCCCTACTGCCACCTGCGGAGCGCTTTAAAACTCAGCGTGTTAGTGGCGACGGGAAGCACAGTATGGCGAATACAGACCACATCGCGTTATAATGAAGTAGCGTCAAAAATACTGGAAACCCGCCCTCACCATAAAGGTGTCAAAGCAGCACCCCGAATTTACAGACTACAACATGCCCGACTTATACCCAATACAATATTCTTTCAAACAAACAAACAAAAGCGTGGACACGCACAGTCAGCCCAAGACTGACTTAATCCACCTTCCGGACGGCGGGACCCGGGTCTGGGTACCGCGGGGCGGAAGGCGGGCTGGGGGCGCGCGGCACCGGCCGCGGGGGTGGGGGTG